CCACACTGAGTATACTGAGGGTTGATAATTCAGCATAGAAACTCTGAACTTATACTGCCAAAAGACCAAAAGTTTCCCTATTCTAGTGGTCTTGGAGTTTGCCACTAGTCTGCCACAATCCAGGGGCTGGGGGCCTTGTTGGGTTACGTGTTCTCTGGTGCATCGAATTTGGGGCCCTTGGTGCGCGTGGTCAGGATGGCCGAGCGGTCCAAGGCGCTGCGTTCAGGTCGCAGTCCGGTTCTCCGGGCGTGGGTTCGAATCCCACTTCTGACAAACGTTTTTCGTTTTCACGAAGCGCGTTACCGTTAGTCTAAGTTCTCGATCTGCCACCAAAGTTACATGAATATTATTTTGATCAAATCTTTTAAGTCGACTTTCACAATTCACCATACACTGTTAGTCTGCGCCACTGGTCTGTAAAATGCAAATAATGCCGTGAACGCATGAAAAACAGGATATGAGCATATGAAAAGACTGTTGCGTGCAGACCGAGCTGGTGTGCAGTCATCTGCGGCCAGTGTGAGCGCGGCATCTGACCTGGCTTCGGCTGGCCTGCAGGGCTGCTGGTGCGGCCGGCGCTGCAGCGGGCCGCTGCACACACAGCCGACACGCTGGCCCGACTCTCAGAGACGCTGGAGCAGCGGCGCAGCCGTCTGTCGACCGTGCGGCAGCAACTGCTCAGCCGGCGCAGCCAGCTGGCAGGTCAGTCGAGAGCAGCAGCCCAGCCGCTGCCGCCGCTGGGGGACCTCACTGGCGACCGTTCTGAGCTGTGTAGCCAAGATCGGTGACACGAACGGAGTTTGCGGCCGCTGGCAGCCGCGCGCGCGTGGCTGACCTCGGCTGGACCGTCTGTCCGGCAGACGCCGACCTGGCCGGACCAGAGAGTGACCTGTACTCGGACACGAGCAGCGTGTCGGGCGCCTCGGCCAGCTCCGGCGGCTCCGGCTCTTCCAGGTCAGTACGGGGCAGCCGGCTGGCAGCGCCGGTTACCGGTACACCGGCGCGGCTGCCGCTTATGTCGCGGGCGTGCTTGATGCCGCCGGTCAGCTCATGTGGGTGTCACACGCTGTGCCAGATGTGGGTTCATGGTCACACGATCCCACGGGCCATGTCAAACACGTGCTCGTGGTCCGGTCGCAGGGGTCGCGTGGGCCATGGCGAGGCAGTTTTCGTAATAGCGCCCTGCCGCGTGGACATGTCCTGGTACGCCCGGCGCCACCGACGCCTGGCCGCGAAACTCTCGTCTGATTTGTGCTTAATCGTCACCGACTGCCCATCCTGTGCAGCCGTGACTTGTGCCTCGCTGCCACTGTCTGGCTGTCGCGTGCAGCCGTGACTTGTGCCTCGTTGCCCCTGACCGACCGTCGTGCGCAGCCGTGACTTGTGCCTTGCTGCCACTAACCGGCCGTCGTGCGCAGCCGTACGTTCCGCTCCAGTAAGAGCCGCCGGAAGCAGGAGCGGAAGAAGTACAGCCTGCGCGAGGGCAGCAGCCTGGAGGACCTGGCGCTGATCGCCGCCTGTCACGCGCTCATCAGCGAGGCCTACGGACTGACGGGTAGGTGGGCTCCCACTGCATGGACACGGTACGGCACTGCACCGGCTGCTACCGGGCGGGCGGGTCTCCACGTTTGACACCTGGTCTGTGTGACACCCGTGTCGTACCAGGGGTGACACTGTGGGATCAACACGCGGATATTGACGCAGGAATGAATGTTGGCTTGCTGTCGTGCTGACGTATTGCTAACGGGTCAGTGTGTAACCGATGGCGGTAGACGGTGGCTGCCTGCTGCTGTCGTAGGCAGCGACCCTGGCACATCGGGATCATTACCCTACGGTTGCCGCGCCTGTCCCGCCTCCAGCGCTCCTCAGCGCCTGGGACTGTACTGCTACCGGGGCGGGGCTGTCGGCGCCGCCACCATGTTCGGCCTTGTGTCCTTGTGCCGGCCCGTGACGCCTGCCGCCGTTCGCAGAGGAGGTGGGCGCCCTGCTGCGCGCGCTCGTGCAGCACGGCCTGGACGAGAGCGGCGCCAGCATCCAGGCGGCGTTCGAGGCGCTGCTGCGCACGCTCGGGCCGGCGGCGGCCGAGGTGTGGCCGGCGGCGGCGCCCGAGGCGCAGCAGCCGCCGGCCGCCTTCGGGCCGGCCGACACGACGAACGCCATTCTGAGCCGGCTGCAGGGCGGCGGCGAGGGCGCGGCCGCCGCTGCTCGGCTCACCCAGCTCGGTACGGCTCCGCGACCGGTGCCCGGGCCGGGGATGGGGGTGGACCGGGCGTGATTGCAAGTGGCGAGGAGGGAGGGTGGCGGAGTGTGGTGTAGCTGCGGGAGACGCGACAGCTGCTGACAGGACAAAGGGAGCATTCCACGTCACAACAGTGGCGACTGGGGTGGAGATTTTCCGTTGGGACAGGATAGAGGATAGATTCGTTGTTGTTATAGTTTTTGACTAGGGTTGTGCACGGTTAAGTGTTCCCACCTGGTGGCGCGGGTGGCGAACACTGCGGTCTGTCACACCGGGTGTAGCCACCCACCGTTCACCCGCCATGTGATCTCCGCCGTTCCAGAGCCTCACCTGCGCTACCCGCCGTTGGCGAAGAAGGACGTCAGTTGGAAGCTGCATTGCCTGGAGCGTCTGTCTGCGGCAGACAGCTGACCGGTGGGCTGTGGCCGGTGTGCCTGCTCTCAGAGCTGGTTTGGTCGCCGCCCAGTGACGTGACTGAGGCCCAGTGACGTGACTGAGGCCCAGCGGCTTGACGGAGGCCCAGCGGGTGTCGCCCGGGCTGCATCTCAGCAAGATTGGCGAATAGGGTGGCGCTGGTGGCGAGTTACGTCAGCTGCGCTGTAAATGTTCTTGCGGTGTTTTGCCTGAGTATTTGGAGAGATGTGGAGCTCCAAAGATCATTGATCTTCTTTCGGTGGCATTCGCCATATATGCAAAAACTAACTTGCGGCAGACTGCAAACGTTGCTGTCATTGTTTTCATGCACAATATATTTCAAAGATGCAGAATTGTGTTGTGAGCATGTCGCTTGAAAACGCCGTACTTTAAAGTGCACTCTGATGCCTGACCAATAGCCATGCTTTGTCCGAGCTGAATACAGCTTTGGAATGAAGTGTCATTTGACATTCTCTCCTAATCTGATAACATAAAATGATATCTCCGGCATCTCGACGGGTGTCTCGTCTTCCTCAAGAGTCGTTTCAAGAGTCGAGAAACCCCAGTGAGTCATATATCACCAGCTGATGACGTGCGTCGACAGCATTCAGAACGTCACGCAAGGGTGGCGATATCATGTCTGCGGATGCCATACGCGGAGTTCAGGATGAAACGATTGACCACCCCTGTTAGAGGAGCATTACACATGCAGCATGGAATTGTCGACTCTGACTCAGACGACTGACGGTTGCGAGCGTGGAACATGGCGGCGAGACGCGTGCACGACTAGGATTCACGCTCAGGACTGCTGGGACTGTCCCGGCCGGCCATCACGTTAGGATGGCTGCCGCACGCTCTGGTCAAGGATTGGTAACGCTGCTTGGCTAACGTTTATGGGATTGACTTTTGCTGTCAGATGGTCGTTGGACACGCCTGCACGCACACACCGTTGTCGTGTGTTAGTCCCGGCACGTCGGCAAAAACGTGCCGGGATGCTTGCTGCAGCTCTTACTTAATAGGACATCAAATGAGTGCCTTGAGCCGCTTCGCTGCCACTTTCCGCTGCTACCCCTCGGGCGCGTGCGGACTGTAGCTGGTCGACTACTCTGTCGTCTCTTCTGCACGCGGAAGTAGGCGGCACCACTATGTACTGGGGCCGCCTGGATGGTGGCTTCTCGGGCATGAAGTACGCCGCAACGGACCATGGAATTAAGTGGTGTCTGTTTGTGATGCATGCCCAAATCCGACTAAGACTTCGAAAAACGGTGATGATCTCTGGACGTAGAGGCTTGCAAGAACCTTGGTCGTATGCAAGAGGTGGTTGTTCGTTTTGAGGTCCATGGCGGCGCTAGTCGTGCATTCGCGGTAAGCACTATCAGCGGCGGCTACAGATTTAGCAGTCGCGCCACTGAAGGCCCGTGAGCGGCTGCTTTGAAGCCCCTATCCGTGATAGTCAGGCTGTGTCTTTGAACCGGCCTTCTTCGGCCGCGGCAGCAAGGTTGGCCGCAGCAATGGGACCAGTGGCGGCTGCAACAGCCAACAGCAAGACCAGGCAGCCACGCACCGCGGCCGTGGTTGGCCGGTCGAAGCCTGCAATCGCGGTGACTCAGGGGGTTGGGCGTGGGGAGGTGGATACCGGTGGATTCGTAGGCTGGGAAGGGATAGAGTGGTGAAATACGTTACCGTGCGCGTGCCTGGGCGCGCCTCTGTGGTCGACCGGCCGCCGCGGTCAGCGGCTACCGGGATGCCGATCTTCTGATGCTGGTGAGAGCGCGCTTGCATCACATTTCGATCCCAAGCTTTAGCCTCTTGGTTCGTGATAATCAGTGACGTCATTACTTCTCACCCAAGGCGATGTCTGATCAAAACATTGGTCACAATTTTGATTTTCAATCGTCTGTCGCCTCAGTGATACGGTGCATTGAAGTATTATTGCATCTCCACAATTTTCGGAGCGCTCCGGTCTGTCGGTGTTGAAAGTTGAGGTAATTTAGAGGCCCGGGATTCAATTAACCATAAATGCCAGTTTTAGTCAATTTGACTGCCTTTACTGCTGTGGCTGCTTTCCATCTCAGTGATATTCAATTCATTTAGTTTAAAACACTCATAACTCGTTTCTACAAGAAGAGCTGCTGATAGCTTCCTCAAATAATGAGGTGCATGTGCCAACTCATGTTTGAAGTAAAATATTTCGGTACGAAACTTCGAAAAGTATTGTCGGGCAAAATGCATGTTGTGAGATTGAGAGCCACTGCATTATCAGCTGAATAAATGGGGTCAGTTATGCCGCTGCTGCTACAAACATCCTCTTCCCTCCCGGCCCGCCAGAGAGCGCGCCCTTTACGAGTTCTGCTTCGAGGGGAGGGTGTTGGTCCCGGTGTTGGTCGGGTGAGCACTGCATGCTGCCTTTGAACTGAGTAGATTGTATGTGCATGCCCTTTGAGACTTCTTCTCTGACTTTATTCGTGTTTTCACGACGTAGACATGGCCAAGTTATCAGACGATTTCTCTTTCTGGTTCGCGCCCATTCGTTCAGTCCCTGTGAAAGGCCAGTCTGCGAATGGTGGCAAACCAGTGGACAAGATATGTGCAGGCAGCCAGCTTTTCTTCTTGGCGAATGGACCGATGGTGTGATGACATAGGGGTGGTCTGCAATATTTTACCTATTATTTCAGTTGTTTGTATTGTCAACTACCCATGCTATTTTAGAGCAATGGAGGGATTTCTTCCTTAAAAGTTACCAAATCCTGTCATGAATTAATTCTAAAAGATCGGTTCTTATTCCAGCCCTGTCCTAACAAGATCCTGTCAAGACATCCATGTCTTACAGACTGGGGTAAAGGCACACAAGCCAGTCAGCAAGAATTCAATCAGCTTTACAGGATGCATACATGACATCAGCGAGCAGAACCTGGTGCTTGGATGGGCCAAGCTCAGGCCGGACCAAATTGTGCCAAATTTTGTGGTGATGTTTGGGTGATAAGTTTTCTAAGAACCTTTGCCTGAAATTAACCTTGCAAGAACATAATTCCTTTAGACAATTGCTCTCAAATTGCCTTGACATTGGTGGCAACCATAGACCAAGCTCTGGACATTCTGATACATAGAGCACATGTGCTGAAATTCTATCAGTGGTGTGTCATCCTGAAAATTTTCCTTGTACTGTGCATTGCATAAGTCCAGAAAATGAAATGCTATGATCTGCCCCAGCACTGACTCTCATTGCAGACATAACAAACAGAATACATCAAACAATATATCTGTTTCAAATGGTTTGTATGTGGGGTTTGGTCTCAGAACATATACTGAGCAAGGCTTTTCCTATACCCTGAACAGATCACCCAAGTCCCATCCAGTTCCACAGGTCAGTTGTTCTCTGCCATTCTCTCAGACAGGATAATGGAAGGTCCATGTGCTGCACTATTCTGTGGCACAGCTGTCCTGAGCCTGTGTCAGTTGTCATTGGCCAGTTGCTAGCTAATCCTTTATTGTTGGCTGAGTCTGGAAATGTGCCCATTCTAGTATGTGAACCCATTGGCTCTGAGTCTGAAAGAAGTAGTCCAGAATTTTTCTCCCAGATCAGGTATGTGCAAGCCTTAACATGCACCCCATGTGGGTGGTTGAATACTTCTCACTCGGGTGGGAGTTGATTTGATCCCCCTGAGATCTCAGAAACTAAGAGAGCTAGAGATGCCAAATTTACAGGGTGTGTTGACCTGTATGTGAACTTACTTCATCAAAAATTGAGGCTTTCAGGTCATGACTGTTGGTTCAAATAAGGTCAATGAAAGCTAAACTCTAAATTGGTGTCTAAGGTGTCCCTAGAACTTATCTTGCAGCTGCTGTTAATGTAGATACCTGTTCACACCAGAAGGTTCTGGGTGTGCATCTAAAGTCAGTTACTGTGTTTGACTTTTAGAAGGTTATGGTAACTAAAATCATACAAGACAGTTTTTATTTTTGCATTGGAATAAGCATCAAGGATAACACAAGGCGGTATGTTCCTAGAAGCAAGATGATGACCTGGGTCATTTTGGGTCGGCAAACTGCTTTGCCCTTAAAGAAGTTCATGGACCATGGACCAAGTCCATGGATGTATGATGTGGTTCCTGTCACTGATAAATTTGAAATGAGCACAAGAAACTACCCCCATACAGCAAGCTCTGCAGTAAAATACAGGTTGCTTTTGAGCTTGGTCCGACCTTCATACATGACCCTAGTTTGATGAAATTTGTTTACTCAATTGTTGTGTTGCCTAAGAAACTATCTCAGAGATGTACAGCTCCGTCTAACACTCCATTGTCTCGTCAGATTGCACGAGTCTGTAGACATTGCCTTTGCTGAAACCATGGTCTGATGTTGACCTGTCATAGGCCATTGACCGTACAATGTGTATCTTAATTTTGATACCAAACGATCCGCGATTCAATTTTCTACACCAGTGTAAGATTTGGCGCTGCTACGCCGCGCCGTTCGAAAATCATTCCGCAAACCATCGGGGGGGGGGGGGGGGAGGGGAGTTGATCCCCGCCCGAGCGCGTGTTAAAAGGGTTAGATCAGCTTAGTTGAGGCTGTGCTAGGTTAGACTCAAAATGCAATATAATGTATGATACAAATGAGTTAACACGCGCTCGGGAAGGGGTCAAGTTGACCCCCCAAAGGTTTTTCCAGAATGGTTTATGAACGGCGCGGTGCAGCCGCGCCAAACTTTGCATGGCTGTAGGCAATTAAATAGCGGATCGTCTGACATAAAATTTAGATGTACCATATAAGTTGACTGACCTACGGCAGGTCAAAGTCAGGTCATGGATTCTGCGAAGTCAACTTCCAGGGAATCGTTCAATTTGATGCAACGACGTCGTGTTAGACGAGACCATACATCTCTAAGATACTTTCTTAGGCAACACAACAATTGAACAAATTCCACTGACCTAAGGAGTTTTAAAGGTCAGATTAAGGTCAAAGTCAATCTGTTTTAGTACTCTAGGGCTTGATGGATGTGGTGTTTTGTGGTGCTCACTTCCAATGTATTGAGGGCAGGAACTGCCTCATACATCTTACATGCACTTAACAAAGGTCAGAATAGGTTACTGACCTAAAATGATCTGGGTCAACATTTTGTTTGTAGGAATACACTGCATAGTGTAATCTTTGTCGCTTATTCAAATGTGAAACTTAAAGCAGCCTTGTATGACTTTGGTTGACATGACCTTCAAAAGGTCAAACAAGGTCACTGAACTTAAATGATCAAGTGACTTTTTGCTTAGAACAGGTATCTAGGCTCTGGGGGGTACTTTGGAGACCAACCTGGAAATTGACCTTGTTTGACCTATTTGACCCAAAGGTCATGACCTAGGAACCTCAAACCTTGACCGAAGTGATTTCAGGTACAGGCCAACACACCGTGTAAATGTGGTGTCTCTAGCTCTCTTAGTTCCTGAGATCTCAGTTGGGTCAAATTGACCCACCCCCACCCCCACCCGAGCGAAAGGTATCCAACCGGCCACTCAGGCGCGAGTTAATTGCCATAGGTCTGATAAAAATGCGGTAATTTGCATTTGAGTGACATTTTGACATCACTGATCATGCTGAGGCATAGCCTAGTTGTCCCCACTTCTGCACACTGTGTTGATGCATTATAAAATGAATGCTTGCATCAGTGGTGCAGGTGTGGAGACTTAGGGGCCTTAATTGGAGTATGTATGTTAGAATTAGTCAGACTGCCATCCTCCTTTCCTGCACTTGTCATGTGACTGGCCTATTGATTGTCACCATGCAACATTGGTTGTGCACCAAAAGGGTGAGAAATTACCCTTGTACATTGTGGTATTTGAATTATCAGCTAAGGTGTAAAGACAGTGGGAATATAATGGACCATCTCAGTTTGGTTTGAACATTTCAATTGTAGATCAGCATGAGCAAGCTAACATATTGTCCTTTTCTATTGTTTTTTGCAGTAATCTTAAAATGGATTCCAAGCTCAACGAAGTTGTTATTGTGTCAGCTCTGCGAACTCCAATTGGTAAGCCTCCAAGCATCTATTTGTCAACATGCTATCAATATTGTCTGGACTGAAAATAATTATTGAAATGCTTGTGTGTATGTGCTACAATATAAACTAAAAAGTTCAATGACCATTGTACTATTCATTTCGACCATTCACCCCACCATTTCAGCCAGGCTCAGATGTTTTTGGACCGTTTTCAGGATCATTCCTCGGCGCGCTGTCCTCCATTAAGAGTCATGAGCTGGGCAGCATAGTGATCCGTGAGGTGCTCTCTCGAGCGGGCGTCGACCCGGCCGATGTCAGCGAAGTGGTGCTCGGCCAGGTCAGTTTGCCTCAGTTTTTCACGTGCACTTGTTACCATTTCTTGATACATTCCATGTATTTTGTTCTTTATTTCGGTCAGAAAAAGTACAAATTGTATATGTAGGACTGCAGAGTCCACGCTACGAACTACAGATTACAGACAATATTCCAGTTGGGATGAGGAAGTTGAATATGTTTCCCAAAGACATTGCCTTTGTCTCCTGTTTTTAACTAAAGTAACGTCCTTGTGCCCTGTGCTCTGAACAGAATCAGTCAGCTGGCATTTGCAGCATATTCTATGGCACAGGTGGTACCCGACAGCACCAGGGTTTTGCGTGTCTGGACAGGACCAGTGAGTTTTGCTCCAGAGGCCATGTACCAGCAGACAGAGGCCAGCAGTCAGAGGCCATATACCAGCAGTCAGAGGCCATAGACCAGCAGTCAGAGGGCATAGACCGTACCCCGCAGACAGACCTGGGCATCAACAGTGTGGTCAGGGCATGACCAGGCATGAACAGTTACATGTTTGGGGCGGCACCTCACTGTTACGGCGAACGCAGCATTTGCGGTAGGACCAGACGGGCCCAGTGTTCTGCTACCTAGACGGGTCCTGTCTGGTGGGTGGTCCCCCCCCCCCCCCCCGGACAGGACCGGACAGTGACGGTGAGCGGTGTTTGTGCCTGCGACAGGTGATGGTGGCAGGCCAGGGTCAGAACCCGGCGCGACAGGCAGCCGTCGGCGCTGGGCTGCCTATTCACGTGCCGGCCAGCATCGTCAACATGGTCTGCGGCTCCGGCCTCAAGTGAGCTGCTCACGCTCAGGCAGCCGGTACACTGGCCTGCCACGTAGCCGTGCTGGCTCGAAAACGACCCAGTGCAGCAGCGGCGTTTTGACTAGAGGCGGCTCAGACATGTGAAAAATACCCGTGTTCGGGCGTTGTGCTCGTATAAAGATGTGATCACTTGTTCTTCAGACGTTGTCACTCGTCTTTTCAGATAAATGTACATGTTTATATATATATATATATATATATATATATATATATGTGATATATACATATATATCAGCCAGGGGCAGGGCAGCCGTATATATCTATCTATCTATCTATCTATCCATCTATCTATCTATCTATCTATCTATATATATATATATATATATATATATATATATATATATATATATATATATACACTATTTTGACCAGCCGCGCTCGGCCAGCGCCGTGTTCGGCGTGCCCTGCCGCTGACTCCGGCCGGCTGCGGCCGCCCGCCAGGGCCATCTGCAATGCGGCGCAGGCGATCCGGTGCGGCGAGGCGCGGGTGGTGGTGGCCGGCGGCCAGGAGTCCATGTCGCAGACCCCGCACCTTCTGCAGATGCGCTCTGGCGTCAAGTACGGCCACGGCGAGCTGCGAGACAGCATGCTGACCGACGGCCTCATGGACGCCTTCAGCGACATCCACATGGGCGTCACTGGTGAGTCACGGGCGGCCGACGGGCCCTTGGTAATGGGGATGGATGGCTGGTGATGACGACGTCGGGCGGCAATCGCGTGGACACCACGGGTAAAGCGTGTATGCCGAGTATACACATCGATGTATATATATATATATATATATATATATATATATATATATATATATATATATATATATATATATATAATGTAAATGTGTGAGTGTGTGTGTGTGCGTGTGTGTGTTTCGGAAGCAGGTTGTGTAGTAAACATTGGTCGTTGAAAATAACAGCTGCCTCGTTGCTTGTTATCTTTCAAGACGTACCTGATCATCTTGCTGATCAAGTGCTTGCGTTCTGGGCTGATTGCTAGCGACAGAAGCAAAGTCGTTCTTTAAACAATCAAAAACTGTTAAGTGCAGAAGCAAAATTGTCAAAAATAAATCAGTCGGACTGTTCACTACTAGAACAGTGCAAGTGAACCATGCTTCTGTCGCAAGTTCTTGTATCTCGTCGGCGTCACGTCAATTTTTGGCATTCTCAGGGCATAATACCTAACTTGAAATTCGAATTATCACCCACGATTTGTTGACGCAAGTTACGGATGCCAGCGTACCTCTTTTCATTTTTCATCTGTTTACGAATACGCGATACGCGCTAGGTGTCATGAGGGAACTGCTTTAAGGCAAAAACCCATGGAAGCTTATTTTAAACCGCTAAATCGCCTCCCTTTTTCTCAGTTACATTATTTTGTCATGTAAGGCCTTATCCGTGCACTCAGCGGGGCCCGTTCGTAGAGGGCTAGGCTTCTCCGCGCGTTGACGCGTCTCTTGATAGATGGCTCCATGTCGCGGATGTATATGGCCTCGAGCACGTCTAGCCGTCTCACATTGCAGCATCTGTTTACAATAGCGGTTTTGTCCACCGTCTGTTTGGTGAGTCGCTGGTCATGGTGGGATTCCGTATGTTTTTTTTTTGGGGGGGGGGGAGTTGGGGGAGGGGCCGTCTGGATGCGCGTTGTGATCGGTCGGCTAAGTTAGGTCGCCGTCAATTCAATGTAGTTACAATTCCAGCGGAGCGCGTAGTCTCAGCGAGGACACTTGTACCTGTGTATTACATTGGATTGCTTCAATTGAGAATGTTACAGGTCGGGTTGTTTTTCATAAGCACACTTTTTTCATGAGCTTTTCAAGGGTGTTTTTTTCGAACTAAGCCCTAATGGCAAGATCAGCCGTCTTGAAATGTATTTGGGTGGTAACTTCAGATCCTTTACGACCACTGTCTATCGCAAACGACAGACTCGGGCCAATACCTAACCTGCTGGAGCACTGCCCTGACAAATACAAGGCTAGCGCCATAAAGATTTACGTGAACGTGGCGATAAAACATCGTTCATCATGGAAATTTGTGCACTGACAGTTGCAGAAAGTAAATCAAATGAAACTTAGAAATTAATAATAATAAATAATAGATAATAATAGAATAAGTGATAAAATTATATTTAAAAAATTAAATGAAAATTAAATGTAAATTAAATGAAAGCCATTAACAGTTACCCTGTCCATTCCTTCGGCAAACACATCCGCGATGCCATAACCAAGTATGGTCAACCCCTTACTGGCACTGCTCCAGACGGTACAGTCTCCAAACCGTCCCACAACAATACCATGTCATGAGCTCTAAGGCTAATGGAAAGGTCATCCGATGAATCGTCAAGAGACACTGTGAGCCAGCGTCTCCTGAGGCTAATAATATTTTACCACAATCCTACGACACGTTCCGTACTTATGAAAAACAACCCGACTCGTGTCACATCTCTACTGAAGCAATCCAGTGTAACATACAATCACAAGCGCCCTCTCGGAGGATGTGCGCTCCGCCCGAACTGTACCTATATTGGATTGACGACCACCTCACCTCGACCCCCCCCCCCCCCCCCGCCCAGCCGCCTCGCGTGACTGGGAAGGCGACCAGCCTCTGTCGGGCTGGGGTCGACGTGAGGCGGAGCCTACCCCGCGTGCCTGGCCTCTGTCGGGCTGGGGTCTCGACACGAGCCGGGGGCCCGCCTCGCGCCTGCACCAACAGCTGGCTGGTAATCGGCGGGCGATTAGCTGAGGGTGGCTGTCTGTTGTCGCCCCACTCGTCTCATTAGCCGCTGCTAATGAGACGAGTGGGCGTCGGCAGGAGGCTGACGGCTGAACTCAGCCGAGGTGATTGGGTTCCTTTTTAATCTGTTTGACATTGTGTAGGAAGGATTCGTGAACTGGAGGAACCGGGGTGACCACACAAGAAAGTTTTCGAGTTGCTTGTTTTCCGCGAGTACGATTGGGGCCCAAGGACGACGCACAGCAAAACTTATTAGGAGGAGGGCTCTGATGATACTTTTTGGCTGTGCAAGCATTGTTTTCAAGATTGTGCATTAACATGATGTTAAAACCGGAAACTGTTGGGCGCCCGGGGACCCGAAAAGTGTACGGAATTGCAATCAGCATTCCTCGGGATGTGAGTTGTCATTAGCATCCTGACCTGGGACCAGTGTAAGCCTTGCTGTGTCTTGAATGTGACGGACCAGCATTCAGCCAGAGCTGTTGGAACCCAAATGAAGGCCCCTCATACTTAATGACGACATGTGCTCTAATGCCCACTAGTCTTTGTCGGTCTCCTATGCTCCCATCATACTCGGGACACCCTGCACCACTTGTGCATAGATTACGTGTTGTTAAAAGTCATTCGTGTCAAGTTTCATACAAGCTTCGCTACTTCGCACCATGAACACTAATTCTGCACTGCATGCCCGGGCGTTATAGCCAGGCTCCCTGCCTTCTGCCCCCTTCTCTCCTGTCCCTCACCCTATCCCGACCCCGGACCCAGACTCCGGGTAGATGGCGTCGCCAGGATTCAAGATGGGGGGGGGGGGGGGCAGAAATGTGCGTGCGTTGGTGCGTGTGTGGGAGGGGGACAAGGCGGTAGCTCGTTACAAGGCACTCTTGTCCACCCGTTTGCCATGCACTTTGGAAGCCTCCAAGATTCATTATGCTCCATTTGTAAGTTTGGGATAGCAGGCCACTCTCCTTATTCACGTCATGCCCGCCGCGTCCCTCGCCCATGGCCACCTGACTCCGAAAAATGGTCCCCAAATCCTGATCCCTGACCATGACCTCTGACCTCTGATCCCTGACTTGTCCCGACCATTTACTCCGACCATGACCCTTGACCGTGACCTCGCAATCCAACTCTGAGCGTTGACCTTGTAATCCCACGGCATCGTGACCCTGGCCTCTAACTTTGACGTTCACATTGACCTTGAGCAGCAGCCGTTGACCTCTGACCGCGCCTATGCCGGCAGCGGAGAACGTGGCGCGCCAGTTCGCCATCACGCGGCAGGAGCAGGACGAGTTCGCCTGCCGCTCGCAGAACTTGGCCGAGGCGGCGCAGGCGGCGGACCTGTTCGCCGCCGAGCTGGTGCCCGTGCCCGTGACCTCCCGCAAGGGCACCGTTGACGTCACGCGGGACGAGTTCCCGCGGCCCGGCACCACCGTCGAGGCGCTGGCCAAGCTGAAGCCGGCCTTCATCAAGGTGAGCGGTAAGGAGGTTGCCGGCGGCGATAACGGGCCGACGAATTTGCAGGTGGGGCCTTGTTGGTCCTGTTGTACGGATAGGCTGCAGGCGCAGCAGGTAAGAGATGAGAAACAAAACAGACCTTCGACATAGGTGATGCGGGGTTTTGTTCGGCGTTCTTTCTGTGCTCGCAGTATATTTTTCTCCAAGAGATTCGGATTTATAGCCGGGAAGTTAATATCCTGTGCTGTTTTGACTCCATGCTCCGGCTGTGAGGGACTGTATCGTGCAGCCACTTTGCAGCCTTGAGTACGATTAAAAAATCACTCACTGTTTTCTCATTCGGAATGCGAAGTGTGAGAGGCGTGAGGTCTTGTCGTCCAGGTCGTTGGACGCTGAACGTGACAACGTCTGTATTTCTAACCAGATGCTGCTCGCGATGTGTGACTCATTATGAGGAGTAGCCCTTCATTCACCGAACGTGCATTCGTGTTAATGTTTAGCCATGTTGCGCTGCGTCCCCTCCTGACGGCTGCTCGTCCAAGCAGCCGCGCGCATCTGCCGCTGCTACTGTCGTGTTGACGTGCGCTCGGGACCCACACGGGCCCTGACCTCGGCGATCCGGTGTTGTGTGACGGCTGCCGCTGCGCCGCTCGCACCGCTGACTCCCCTCCCCCTCCTCCCCCACACTGTGCCGGTGTGTTGGTGGCGACCCGCCTGATTGTGCCGCCTCTTTGTCTGTGGCTCTGGATGGCAAACAATCGTCGAATGTGTCACTGCGGCGCCCTTTGTGCAGCCATCCAGTCACTTCCTGCCGTCGCTCGGGTCCGCTTTTGTCTTCACTCTTGTTGTTTGTCTCTGGTACCGAGCGTTCAGTTTTGAATGGCCCTATTGTTTGACTTCGATCATGCGCTTTGTCGGAGAGGCTTGAGTCTCGAATGACGTCGGTGCGGAGGTCGATGGGTCACCTCGCTGAGCCCATCCAAGTGATAAAGGTGTGATCACCCGGATCGTGTCTGCTCACATATTCTTAGGTCACTCAGCTTGATCAGGCCTGGGCCTTAATATGGCTCGCGATTGTTGTATTTTGAGCGGCGTGGGGCGAGCCCAGCAGCACACCAAACGGTCCATGCTGCCTCCCCCTGACTTGGCTTCGACTACTGGGATTTACCACTGGGTATGTCCCTTGTTATCTACAACGGAAGCGACAGGCTGGCCGTTGCAGTTGTACCGAGATATTTGTTCTATCGAAAGGGCTTACTGACTTGTTCGTTTTAAAACGGGAGGAAACTTATAATGTGTAAATCGGCTTTTCAGCTGCAGCTATTAAAGAAATATGTTACATGCGCGCCCGCGTGGCCGGTCGAAAGATACACGTTTGGGTGGGGGTCAATTTAACCACCCGAATATCTCAAACTAGGAGATCTACAGACACCAAGTTCACGGGGTGGATTCACTGGTATGTGCGCTCACTTGTATCAATCAACGACAAACAATTTGAACTCGGTGAATAAGCTTTTCAGCCGCGGCCACTTCAGAACAATGTTGAGACCGGCAGCTGGCCAACTTCTGGTCAGTGCATTGTAAAGCTAGTGTGAATGTTGTGGCACAAAAAACAACCATATATGTGTTCCGAGCATCCAAATATAGCCCTCACGTGGGTGCTGCGTTATCTGCGCGGCTGCTTTCCACACCCTCGTGTGGTATGGAACCACCTTTCTCCCGCCATGTGCGGGCCAGCCGGCGGGCGTGCTCACCCATTTCCCTCTCCCGGACAGGACGGCACGGGCACGGTGACGGCCGGCAATGCCTCGGGCCTGAACGACGGTGCCGCCGCTGTCCTGCTCATGGCCGCTGATGAGGCGGCCCGGCGACAGGTGGTGCCACTGGCGCGCGTCGTCTCCTCCGCCTCGTGCGGCGTCGAGCCGGAAATCATGGGCACCGGGCCCATCCCCGCCACCAGACTGGCCGTGAGTGAACTGCAGGTGGTGGTAGCCGCTGATAGATGGCGCCAGCACCAGGCGGGTGACGTTTTGCGCATGATGGATATACAGATACGAGTACATGGCCAGATGAATTGGGATCGTGATAGTTAGTAGGTTTAAGTATACACTCCAGGGTAGGCTCAGTCATCACTAAGAATTTGACCGTATTATGACGGCAGGAATCCGTTGTTTTTTATCCATTGTTGAGGCCTTGTCAGCATCGTCCTTGGAGGGGGGAGGGGGGGGGGGGTTGGCCATCGTGTCCCCCCCCCCCAATTGCGCCAGCTCTCCGCGGCCTAGCCACGCTTTCCGTCGAGCCAGCGTGTCCCACCGCCACACCGGTCAGACAGGGCCCTTACGACGCGCCCCGTCGGCAGCTGGAGCGGGCCGGCTGGACCATGGACGACGTGGACTTGTTCGAGCTGAACGAGGCGTTCGCGGCGCAGGCCATCTCCGTGCAGCGCACGCTGGGCGCGCCGCTCGACAAGGTCAACGTCCACGGCGGCAGCATCGCACTCGGCCACCCGCTCGGCGGCTCCGGTCAGTACCGGCGGGAGAGGGGGGGGGGGGGGCGGGGGGCGTCGGCGCCGCAGCCGGGCTAAGAACTCCGGCGGGTCGGTCGGTGCGGCACTCAGACGAGCGTGTGCTGTCGACCAATCTCCCTGGTGCGGTCCGCGTGGCTGGCCTCGCGCCGGGCGAGGACAGGCCTCCGGCTCCGGGTCCGGCCCGGTGCCCACGAGTCCCTGCTGTCGGTCAGCGTTTGAGGCGTGCGGCCAGACGACGGCAGCTTACGCTCGACGCCGTGCGCTGGCCACGAGTTCTCTTGCCGAGTGCCGGCGGGAAAACAAGAAGTTATAAGAGTTGTAGCGTGTCACATTGGATGACTTTGATTTAGTTTTGCCAGTTCCACGCACTCCTTGACGACAGGAGACGTGGTGAGCCCGATGTGCTTGTAGTTGTCTTTGCTGGACATCTGACAATTTGAAGCATTCCTTTTGTAAGAAAGCATCCGCGGTGACACGCCTGCTCTCGTAAGACACCAAAGCAAGGCCTCCTTCGCGCGGGCCGCCGTCCCCTGTCGTGTCCCGTCGCCGCCAGCCGCACCACTGTTTCGGGTGCTCCTTTCCAATGCGCTGACGTGTGTAGTGTGCCGGGCGGGACCGGCTGTTGCGGCCAGGGGGTACGCGGGCGTGGTGGGCGGCACGCGGTCGTGTCGTGTGCAGGTGGCGCCACTGTCGCCGCGCGGGGCTCGAGGCCAGCGACCGACCCCCGGAGCCGGACCGTTTATTTGGACGGCGGTGACAGGCGGGTCGCCCCGCCGGGTCCGACGGCCCGGCTGGGCCACCCGCCCACGGCAATGCCAGCTGCGCCGCGCCCGCTGCCTTGGCACGGCCGCGCTGAGCCGGCCGCACTGGGCACGGCGCGCTGTGCTGGCCGCGCCGGGCACGGCGTGTGACGCGGCCGAATCAACCCGCCCTGCAACCGGGGGTGGTATGTTGTACTGCGTTACTGCTATGAATGTATAGCGGACTAGCGCCGGCCCTTCCAGCGATATCAGCCAGTGTATTGCCGTGCGTATGGCGCCGAGCCTCTGATGCGACGATGCCCCCTGGTCTCGACCCTGCGTCGGATGGAGGCGTCTGACCTCGCCACTGACTGCCCTCAGGCGCACGCATCCTGGTGACGCTCCTGCACGCGCTCAAGTCCCGCGGCCTCAGGAAGGGCGTGGCCGCGCTCTGCATCGGCGGCGGCATGGGCATCGCCATGTGCGTGGAGCTGGTGTGACGTCACAGTCCGACCAGTCCATGTTCGGACCGGAGGGGAGGATGCCGATGCGGTCCGGGCGTTGTGGAATAGGCCAGTCTTCGAGGGTCCGCCGCCAGCCCTGCGATCAAAACGACACGGGATATCGATGCGTAATACTCAGTGCCTTCGCTGGTCGAACTCGATGGCAGTTGTGGCTGCAGTTAGCTTTTCGATCAAAAGTTTTGTATATGTTTTAGATATGTTGGGGTGACCAATGGTAAGAACGATACGCTAGGGACCGTTTGCGCGAGCGAGCTGTTTCGAAATACACGAAGCCGCGCGCCAAGGCCCGCGCCGTTGTTAAGAGCTCGCTTCCAGGTGACGACGCTGTTCTTGCCTCGACCAGTACCTCGTCCTAGGCCAGTTTGTAATGAATGTAGTAGAGTGGTGGTGGTGCTACGAGATGCAAGATACACTCAGTTTTGGGCTTGTTTAGTCCGAAGCACGTTAAGGTTTTTACCAAAGCTAAGTGTTTCTGGTGACGGACTGCGATGTTGTTGAACAAAAGTTGTTATCCCTTGTTATGTACATGTATTGCTTAACTTTATTGCACTGACGTAAAGTGAGGTCCAGGCTACGCCTTATTTTCGGCTATTATTTATTTGATCGACTTATTTTGGTTTCCATCGTTTGGCTAGGGTAATGATCTCGGTCATAATGAATTATGTGCCCCGCTCCTTTTGGGTGTGGGGACTGCGCGAAATGCAGACGCTTGTTGGTATTAACGTGACCGCTTCATCAAGAGATATGACGACAATATATACTTTAGCACTGACTACGGCTGTTGTCCTTTGTGGTCAGGTATGTCTGTGACTGATAAGGGTGGTGCATTCTAGCTTGACTTATTCTCTTGCAAAACAAAGCACTAGAATTATCGCAAATTGGTGTGTCCGACACTTTAGTTACTATCTTTAAAGGTTAGCCGGAGGGAACACCAGCACGGTTCATTCGGTTAAGATTCTTAATACCCTAAGCACGGTGTTCCCGTCATGTTGTAGCCCTCTTTCCTATAAGACACGTGATTTCGGCCTGGGCATAAGCTGGTTAGGTGGGCGAGCGTGGAGGCTAGCCGCGGAGGGGATTGAACTCACTGAGGAGTCTACGAATCGGGTGAATTGGTATCGCATGTGCCCGCTTTCATGACGATTGTTTCATAACTGATCGCGATAAGATGCGTACCACAACCTTGGCAGACGCAGTTTTGTTGCGTTTTGCTTTTGTCTGACATCGATACGATAAGGCTTGTGCCCTGCTCGTGCCTCTCACAACTGAGATGAGGCATTCCAACGCCATACCCGAGCAGTTGCGAACAGCATGTCTGCGCTGCATCTGCACTGCGTCGGTTGGGCAGCCACCCAACGGGAGTTCCCTGCCGATCCGCAGCCGAGTGGAACGGCCAGATTCCGGCGGTGTTCCTTTCGTGACATCGCTATTTTAAATGAATTGCCCTGTGACTAAAATATGACGTTTGCACCAGCCTTGTCGAATGTGTCCTGATTGCCGATGCATTGGCTGGTCATGGGCCGAATAGCCGGTGCATGGGGGCGTTAACATGACCATGGCCAGTATGAATGGGCGTGCTGGAATGAAGTAGTAATAGTAACCCACTACGTCGCTAGGTGGCAGGCTGGACGGTCAGCTGTGCTTCAGAAATATTTCACGGCGCTCACTAGTCGCGAATAGCGCGGTATTCGGTAGGTCGACGATGGACAGAAAGGGGGAGGGACTTGCCGGCCGGATTCAGCAAAATGGTAAGCAATCCTTGTGCGTTTGCGTGTCTATTGCATTCATATTGTGAATGTTAAAGACCCTGCTTTGTTTCTAAGCCATTTGTTTCTGTGTTAACTTGCGGTGACAGGATCGTGACTCCTGTGGGCGGCAGACGTGGAAAGCCGTGAAATGTAAAGTAAAATATGATTTGGCATGTGTATGACTATTTGTACCTTTACAGGGCATGGCAGAGCTACTGGGCCATCTTATTCCTTCAGCTGAACTTCTTGCTGGTGTCTCTGGCTGCCTGTATTGCTGTGAACAGTTGTCATTTGACCTGGGTGGGTGTGGCTGCAAGCATGAAATCTGATTTCAATCAGCAACATCTGCTCTGGGGACTTCTGACATTTGGGTAAACAACAATTAATTAATTTATTCTTTACCAGGAAGGCTATGAACATCTGTCACCACATGGGAACTCTGCCCAATTTTGCTTTACAGGAAAAGATGAACAATGATATATACCCAGGTTTGAGCCAAACACTGACCAAAATAGGCCTGGCACCATGGAACAGTGCCTGTTCATCTTTACGGCACACTTCCCGACAGAACCTGCATGGGTGATACATTAATAATGATTTGTGATGAGTTATGAATAATGTGTTTGTTGGACAACTGAACCAGTCTTGCCTCTAGTAGGCATGACTTTACCTTTATCCATTATTATCTATCTTCACCTAATGTCCAATGTTTATGGATGTTTATATTGTTAAAGGAACCCTAGCCTATCCGTGAAGCTTTGTAGGAGTAACACAACATGATACCGTCTCATATAGACCAAAAGCAATCATATGGCCTCTGGCACTTTTGAACATGATAGCATTTTACCTATGTGCAGTATGCGTACCTGTTGGACTTTTCCTTGTCACTGTCATTTTAGGCATACAAGTACCCCACACAAGTGTATATGTGCCTTGAGTCCTGGCAGTCTTGTTGCCACTGATGGGTACCTTGAAGTAGGACATGATTTGGTGAAATTTATGAGAATTTAGAACTTCACCAATCTGTAATATGACAATCAAATATATGACATTTTCTATATGGCTTAGTGCCTGTTCCTGGCATGAAGCCACTTTTAGGATATAATTTAAGTTCTAAAGGAGACTGAGTTGTGTTTTGATCACTGGCTACTCAACTACAGTGTATCTTAATGGTTTTAGGATGGCACAGGGTCAATTGTTTCTTAATTTGATCAGCTCAGTTTGGTCAGGTCCTGCAATCACTATAAAGTCATGTATTGGTTCCTGTGGGATAGCATTATTCTGATTCATTTGAAGGTGAAATAACCTCTCAAAGCATTGCACTATGAATGAAAAACCAACCAAAATATTCAGCAAAGATGTATTGGTATTTATCATTGTGTAGTCAAAACAACTTAAATGAACATGAATCATCAGAACTTGGAGATGCATTGCTTCATGTATTTGATCAGTTACCTTCACTTGCCATGGTCAAAGTATAAGTGGCAGGTGTCATTGACAACCTGCAGGACACAATGTGGTGTACCGGGCAGCTCGTGCACTACATGCACTTTTTGGTGCATGCTAACCACGGCAGACTGAGCACGGGAGACCGACCACGGCAAACTGACCACGGCAGACGGAGCACGATAGACCGGCTACAGCAGACCGACCACGGCAGACCGACCACGACAAACTGACCACGGCAGACGGAGCACGATAGACCGGCTACAGCAGACCGACCACGGCAGACCGACCACGACAAACTGACCACGGCAGACGGAGCACGATAGACCGGCTACAGCAGACCGACCACGGCAGACCGACCACGACAAACTGACCACGGCAGACGAGCACGATAGACCGGCTACAGCAGACCGACGACGGCAGACCGACCACGGCAGACCGACCACAGCAGACCGACCACGGCAGACCGACCACGGCAGACCGACCACGGCAGACCGACCACGGCAGACCGTCCACGGCAGACCGACCACGACAAACCGACCACGGCAGACCGACCACGGCAGACCGACCACGGTAAATCGACAACGGCAACCGACCACGGCAAACCGACCACGGCAGACCGACCACGGCAGACAGACCACGGCAGACCGACCACGGTAATCGACAACGGCAAACCGACCACGGCAAACCGACCACGGCAGACTGAGCACGGCAGACCGACCACGGCAAACCGACCACGGTAGAGGGACCACAGCAGACCGAGCACGGCAGAGGGACCACAGCAGACCGAGCACGGCAGAGGGACCACGGCAGACCGACCACGGCAGACAGACTACAGCAGCCCGACCACGGTAGACCGACTACAGCAGCCCGACCACGGTAGACCGACTACACACAGCCGACCGACCACGGTAGACCACTACAGCAGCCCGACCACGGTGACCGACTACAGCAGCCGACCACGGTAGACCGACTACAGCAGCACCGACCACGGTAGAACCGACTACAGCAGCCCGACCACGGCAGACAGACTACAGCAGCCCAACCACGGTAGGCCGACTACAGCAGACCGACCACGGCAGACCGACTACAGCAGACGGACCACGGCAGACAGACTACAGCAGACGGACCACGTCAGACAGACTACAGCAGACGGACCACGTCAGACCGACTACAGCAGCCCGACCACGGCAGTCCAACCGCAGCAGACCGACCACGGCAGACCGACCTTATCAGACCGACCACGGCAGACAGATCACAGCAGACCGACCTCGGCAGATCGACCTTACCAGACCGACCACGGCAGACCGACCACGGCAGACAGATCACAGCAGACCAACCACGGCAGACCGACCACAGCAGACCAACCACGGCAGACCGACCGCACCAGACCGACCACGGCAGACCGACCGCACCAGACCGACCGCACCAGACCGACCGCAGCAGACCGACCTTATCAGACCGACCACGGCAGACCGATCACGGCAGACCGATCACGGCAGACAGACCACGGCAGACAAATCACAGCAGACCGACCACGGCAGATCGACCACAGCAGACCGACCACGGCAGACCGACCTTACCAGACCGACCGCAGCAGACCGACCTAACCAGACTGACCGCAGCAGACCGACCTTACCAGACTGACCGCAGCAGACCGACCACGGCAGACCGATCACGGCAGACCGACCACGGCAGACCGACCACGGCAGACAGACCACGGCAGACCGACCACGGCAGACAGACTACAGCAGACCGACCACGGCAGACAGACTACAGCAGCCCGACCACGGTAGACCGACTACAGCAGATCGACCACGGCAGACAGACTACAGCAGCCCACCACGGTAGACCGACTACAGCAGACCGACCACGGCAGACAGACCACGGCAGACCGACCACGGCAGACCGACTACAGCAGACCGACCACGGCAGACAGACTACAGCAGACGGACCACGTCAGACCGACTACAAGAGACGGACCACGTCAGACCACTACAGCAGACGCGACCACGGCAGACAGACTACAGCACGGACCACGTCAGACCGACTACAGCAGCCCGACCACGGCAGTCCAACCGCAGCAGACCGACCACGGCAGACCGACCTTATCAGACCGACCACGGCAGACAGATCACAGCAGACCGACCTCGGCAGATCGACCTTACCAGACCGATCACGGCAGACCGACCACGGCAGACAGATCACAGCAGACCGACCACGGCAGACCGACCACGGCAGACCGACCACGGCAGACCGAGTACGGCGGACCGACCACGGCAGTCCAACCGCAGCAGACCGACCGGCAGAGGGACCACAGCAGACCGACCACAGCAAACCGACCAGATCGACCACAGCAGGCTGACCATGGCAGACCGACCACAACAGACCGACCACGGCAGACCGACCACGGCAGACCGAGTACGGCATAGTAGCCAACTTGACTGGTGCAGTGGACCAGACACGCACAACAAGCTGCCTGTCAGTGTTGTGGCTCACTCCACTCCTCCAGCCGCCTGGCCGGCCGCTGATGTACCTGGCTGTGTGGTGTGCCGACATAGGCCCTGACACGCGGCCTGGTCTACCAGAGGGAAACTGGGGACATTGAATCCGGTCTTCCATTTTGGCGTTGGTGTCTCTACGGAGGAACGACCAGCGGGCTTGGGCGGCTGCTTTTCGGCCGCCACGGTGCACGGGTGTCTTGCATTCAGTTTTTTGTTGGTGTTAATCCAGCAGAGCTACAGTTCTGAGAAATGAGCACATTCGATGCCGTACACGTGTGGGAAACCAGAGGTACGGGGTTCGATTCCCCGCGGTGCCCGCCCTTCCTGCCAGGGCGAGAGGCAGGCGACGTCATATAGCCTCAGCAGCTGAGTGCGTCGCAAAACCCCAATGACTTGACATGACATGACATTCGATGCCGTATTTTGCGTGATAAACTCCAGGAAACTAGCCAGATGGCAAAAGGAAATTGTGCCTGGGTCGTTTTGATCAGACAGTTACATGGCCTTCCTGCCAATGCTGCACACCTCATTTTTACGCGACCATTCCATCAAGCTCGTTGAGCCGGCGCTAGCTGCATCGATCACTGTCTTGGTGCACCTGCCAGCTGCCGTGTGAGCTACCTCTCACGACTGCGTTTGTGCAGCATTCCGGAGCATTGCACGACCAAGGACGTTGTGTTATCGAGGACGCTTTTCCTCTCTTTCATTCGAACCCACGGGAGCTGGTGAGGAGAGACTCACACTTCAATGTGGAAATGGATAGTTATGGGTTTCATTGATGATTACCTTTTAAATGCATTGATTCTACGTGTATTTATACGTTTGTATGTTTGTTTGTTCTTGCGTTGGTTACATACCGTCCCCCATCGCACTCGTTAGTGCGGCGGGTAGCTGGCATACCGTCGGGAACCGTGGCAGACATGTGCGCTGGCATACGAAAAAACCGGCTGATGTGATTTGTCATATAATGGTCAGCTGGCTATCGGCCAAGAGTGTTGGCTGGCACATGCTGCTGTGTCGTAACATTACATGAAACGGTCAAATATCGCG